CTTTTTTTGTCTTCTCTTCCCTCTCTTCTGAAAAGCGTGACCGTGCAGCGCACTGCACCGCAGCTGCTCTTCGTGCACGTGGGGGGGCGAAGGGCGAGCGACAAGAGACGACGAATAGAGGAGTGGCACAAATACATCCCTTGCCGTCAGCCAGCCGCGAAGCGATGCAGACGCTGAGCGTGCCCCTTCAGTTCTCTAGGTGCTCCAGCTTGTCCGCGCTCTCGGCTTTCCTCGTGCCGTCTTTCAGCGTACCACGAAGCACTGCCATCAACGACTCGAAGAGAAACCTGAAGCGGGCATCGCCCTCGAACCAGGCGTTGACACCGATGTTGAGGCCGTTCTCCAACGAATCGTTCGACGCCTCCCCGTAGTTCACAACGTGGTGCCATGTGAACGCTGGTAGGTACAACGCCTCTCCCGGCAGCAGCTCGCACCGCATCGGTGTCGCGTGGCGCGAGCGGGGCAGGCGGGCCGCATCGGGTCTCAGTGGGTCGACTGGGGAGAAATTGTCCTGCAAGAGGTCGTCTACCTTGCCAGGCCTCCTCCCCTCATCCGTATCAGGGTCGCCCTTCAGCCTCGCCTGCATGATCTGCGGGTGCAGGTTCGGTGCGTCCACTGCGTCGTAGAGCCAGAACACCTTCGACCCTCGGATCTGCAGCATGAGGTTGTCGTTTTCGTCGAAGCTGGATCAACAAAAAAAGCAACCGCATGACTTCTCGGAGGTCCGCGCGGATTTGTTTGGATCGGTGCTGGACACCCCTCCCTGGCGCGCGGAGCGCGCCAAGGACGGCCAGGAGTCGACGGCGAGCCCGGGGGGGAGGTGAGAGGGAGAAGACCCTCTCAGAAGGCGTCGGGGCTTCTCAGAAGGCAAGGTCCCCGTGTCTTCGGGGAAGGCTTCGAGATTTCTCACGCAAGGCCGGGGGGACTTCTCAAGCCCTCGTGCCTTCTGACACCGTTTTCTAAGCGGCCTCCGAGGGCAGAGACGGCTTCTCCGAAGGCCGCCGCCGCAGGGGGGGCCCAACGCCGACCCACGAACTCCGGGCGGACCTCCGAGAGCTCGTGCTGATGCCGCTTTTGCTCCTCGAGAAGTGCGTCGGGCTCTCTTTCGGCCTGCCTGCCCCTCCGACCGGCAGCCTCCCGAGCCAGAGGTTGACCTGCCGGACTACCAGGTCGCCCAGGAAAGGCGGCGGACTCCACTCCTGGCGCAGGCGAGCTCAAAGAGGCCCTTTCGCCCACGCTCCGGGTGTCGGGAGGGGTGCCTTTGCGCTTCGGCGCCCCTTCCTCCCCCCCCCCGGCCACAACACAACATGAGCATCGATCCCTACCCCCACTGGCATGGCCTTCGCCCCACTGGCATGGCCTTGGCCCTAACACCCTTGGGCGAAAGAAGCCCGAGATCCGTGATGACGTAGGGCTCAAGGCGCTTTCTCAGCGAGGCTACGCCCTGGGTAGAGGAGTCCAGGGGAGCCCGAATCCAGCACTGTTGAAAACATCTGTGCGTTCTCTCTTTCCACTGGCATGGCCTTGGCCCCACTGGCCGGCACAACCCCCTTGCGTGGGGACATCTGCTGTCCCCTCGGGTTTCGCGGGGCCAATCCCCACCCAGTCGGTTGACCGGGTGGGGCTGAGCTACCGTGGCCCAAGAGGGATGGGGATCGGTTCGACGATGCTGACAAAACACGGTCGCCATCGCAGAAGCCCGCTGGCCGCTGGCCACGGCTGGCCATCGCTCGGACGTCCATTTCCCGTGCTTTTTTCGGTTTCGTGCGTGGTTCTTTCGCCAAGTGGTCGAGGATGCTCCTCGAAAGTCCTCGCCGAGAAAAAAGTGCACACGTCCGAGCGATGCCGGTCTGCAGTGGGGGTGCGGCTATGATGGAGCGACAGCCAGCAAGGGAGGAAAGCCGCCGACCTGAGGTCTCGTGACGGCCAATCTTTCCTCAACTTGGGCCCTCCTCCTCCTCCTCCTCCTCCTCCTCCTCCTCCTCCTCCTCCTACTCCTCCTCCTCCTCCATTGGAGGCCTCCTTCGGACTCTGGGATCGTCCAAAACGGCCCAGGACAGAAAGCTGGCTCCAGAGGTGAGGTCCAGAGGTCCGGGGACCCATGCCGAGAACAAATCGTGACGTTGGATGCCTAGGCACCGCTGGGCCCCCCAGGCTTTCGTACCCTGCGCTGCTGATCTCTGGCGGTAGCTTCCTCTGGCATCGACTGCTGACTACCTGCGCGAACCCGAGAACCTACAACCCCGCCGCTGGGTCCAAGAAGATAAAGGAAAAAGAACTATGCACATACACCGATTCTGGCCAGGCCCATCCTGAGCCCAGGATGGGTGCATACGCCCTCCTACCTTGGCCAGGAAGGCATATGCACCGATCCTGGGTCAAGGATTTGCCTTGCCAGGATCGGTGCATGTGCATAGTTCTCTTCGCCCGAGAAGAGGTCATGAGCAGTGCGAGTTCTGCTTCGGCCAGGTCCTGCGACCCCCCCCTGGTCATCCTGACGCAAGCGGGGCGGAGGTACGCAGACCTCTATTTCCTTCTAGACGCGGGCCCCGGAGCTCACGCCCCCGGGCAGCCTGTCGACCGCGATCGTTTCCTGACGTCCCCTGAGCACCCGAGAAATCCACAAGAGGCTGACAGCTGTGAAACAACTGCTTCCTCTTGTTTCTAAAACTCCCTTTCGCTTTTCGAACACATCTGTTTGTCAAGACGTCGGAGGTCTATACCTTGCGTCAGGGCTCGAACTAAACAGTGTTTTTTTTTGTTTTCGCTTTCTTTTTCCCTCGTTCTGTCGTCGCTTCTCCTTTTGGTGCACCACGAAACCAAAACGAACACGGTCCACGAACTCGCCCAAACACCGTTTAAATCGAGCCCTGTCTTGTGATCGTTTTTTATTCATTGTTTTGCCGATCGGCGCGGGCCCCCTCTCCCTCCCCCCCCTCATGGAGTAGATCTTGGCTGTTTTTTGTGCGACAGTTTCGAGCGGGTGGAGTCTCCCCCCAGAGGCCGCACTCTCGCAAACAGTCGCACTAAGCAGAGAGCCTGGAGCCAAACCCCCCGCTCCCCCCCTCCTTGCCGCCCCATGTCGAGCCACCGAAAAACAAAACGCTCACCTTGCGTTGGCCGGCTCCTCGAACATCCGCCAACGCAGGCCCGCGGTGTCGTCCTGGCCGTCCGCGCCAGTGCGGTTGGGGCCGCTGGCGTTCCGGGCGGCCTCGGCGGCCCTGGGCCCGCCCCCGTCCGCGTCCTCCTCGGGGCAGCGGAGGCAGGCCTGCTCGAGGACCAGCAGCCTGTCCTCGCGGTCGAAGCGCACCACCTCCGCCAGCGAGCGTGAGGTCCGGTATGGCTTCTGCAGGTAGCGGCCCCCCTCCACAGGGGTGATTCCGAAGCGTTCGTCGGGGTCCGTCGCGTCGAAGTACGAGGCGCTGAACACGGCAGCGCCGTGCGTGTCGAGCAGGTGACTTACATTGCGCCACAGCTTGATAGAATCACCAAAAATGCTGTGTGCTCTGCGGATGATAACTGGCATTCCATCGTTCTTGATGCCAGCCAAAAAACTGTCCGCGCTTGCTGGAGGCGAGCGCAATCTGATGCACTCCTCTGGCCAGTGGCGGGTGCGTGCCACCTCTTGCCCGAATCTCTCGTTGATGAGGTCTTGAAGATGATGCTCTGGCCTCCACGCCTTCCAGAGGAGCGTGGCCAACAGCAGCGCTGCAACTGCTGTGGCCAGCGCAGTGTATAACTGCCATCTCCACAACTCTTTTGGTCGCGTACCCCCGTTGGAAGCAGAAAGCATGGTCAAATTGCTACGGACAGGCGTAACGCAGAGGAAACGGGGGGGAGGGGACTTGTGGGAATCCCTACAAGAGAAGCCCCAACCCACTAAACATACTTTGCTGTTCCAGGGGCTTTTGATGGTCTCGACTGTGTACAACTTCCATGAGCGCCGAACCCTGTCATCAAAGCTAGACGTTTGAGCCTACGAGGGCTTCAAACCTTGAGCGAGGGCAAATCTGCCAGCACCTTGCGCCCAGCCACTGAACAATTGGACGATGATGGAAAGCCCATGGCTGCTTGTTGGAGGCAAGTGGCGGAGGAGGAGGAGGAGGAGGAGGAGGAGGAGGAGGAGGAGGGGGAGGAGGAGGAGGAGGAGGAGGAGGAGAGGGACGAGGAAGTACGAGTTATGAGCCGTCCCACGCAGTGCTCAAGAGGAGGGGGGAGGAAAAGGAAGACGAGGATCGGCGGCGAGCCCCGGGGGGAAGTGACAAGGGGCGGTCCTTCCCAAAAGGCTCGTGCGTCCCCCGCCTCCCGAGAAGCTCTCTGAGCCTCGCCGGAAGACGCAGAGAACCTCTCAGACGGGCGCGAGGGCTGCCGAGAAGCCGCGCCGCCCTCTGAGGAGGCCTTCTCCCCTCCTCGCTCCACCCCCTCGCTCGCCGCCGAGAGCAGGAGGCGGCCCGGTGCGGACCGAGCGGCGCCGCTGGCGGACCGCAGACGCCGAGCAGCGCTCCTCCGACGCGGGGGCCGCGCCGCCGCGGGCGCGAGGGACCGCCGCGGGCGCGCCGAGCCGGCGCCCGCCGCGCCGGCGCGCAGGGCGCCCGCGCGACGCCCAAGCGCCCCTGGCGGGATGCGCCCGGGCCCGCCTGCGCGGCAGGGGGACGTGGTCTGCCTGGGGTGCCCACAGCAACACGGCAAGGGTATCGGGCGAGGAATCGTTGGGTAGGGGATCCAGGGTCCCAGAGCCCAGGAATCCAGGAATCGTTGGATAGGGAATCGTTGGATAGGGAACCCGTGGGACGCCCATGTGAGAGGCCTGGCCCGTGGGGAGCCCCGCCGCCCTCATCACATCAGGAGCCGCCCAGGGTCTGAAGCATCCTGAGCACCTTCCTTGACCCACGCCCCCGCCGTATCGACGACGCGCCGCCGCGAGGAACCCATCGCCGCGCCGCCTGTTGAAGGAGCACCGTGCCTGCGCGGCGTGGGGACGTGGCTTACCTGGGGGATCCACCAGAGGAGCAGAAAGCGGCACGAGCATACTTTCTCGGAGACCCGCGTGGATCTCTGGGATCGGCGCTGGACCCCCCCCTCCCCCGCGCGCGCGGAGCGCGCCAGGGGCGGCGCCGGAGGCGCCGCCAGGGGGTCCCAGCGCCGATGCGAGAAGCGTGCGCGGACCTCCCAAAGTTTATGTTTAAAATCGGGGCGCTGAAGAAGGAACCCTTTTCGTTGGGGAGGGGCTCTGTGTGCCTTAAGTGTTTTACACTGTGCCTTGGGTCTTCCTCCGGTTTCCCGTGTGAAATCGAAGTTGAACTCATGGGAAACAGGGGCCTCGTTCCTTGTTGAGGATTCCTTAAGGTCAACGCCCGACTGCATGTCGCCCTGCAGTCTTCGACCAACAACAACATCAACGACATGCCGCCGTGGGGAGCCCATCCTCGCGTCGCCTGTGGGAGGAGCACCATGCCTGCGGGCCAGAAGCGAGGGAGTGGCACGGAGGCGGGCTCCGGTCGGCGGCGCGTCATTGCTGCTCTGTCTTCAATCGGGCGTGTCCCCCTACAGGGGGATTTTGGGCGAAACATTTTAAAAAATACTCCAAAAATGCACCCAAATGTCCAAACACAGTCAAACAACAGTCCCCAGACTATTTTTGGACTATTTTAGAATATTCCTCCTGTAGAGGGACAGGCCCGACTTAAGCTTTGTCCCCCTTCCGATGACCAGTCGTCGTCCGAGTCGCCCTCCTCGGCCTCCTGTTGTCAGTCAGCTGCACGCAGGGCAGACTCCACGCAAGAGTGGCCTCTGGTGCGCGGCTCTGCAGGGCCAGGTCCCAGCGTGCAAGCCAGTGCTGTGGGGACCCTGGTGGGCCCGTGGCAAAGGGTCACTGTGGCGAAGGGTCACCCTTACGCGTAGCCGATGTCGGAAAACGCCGCAGAATAATACCTCTAACAACAAGTAACGCATCGGCATAAGACATGATCTTTTGGAGGTCCGCGCGGACTTCTCAAGTCAGCGTTGGAACCCCCTCCCCCGGCGAGCGACATTGGCCGCCAGGGTCGGCGCCAGAGCCAGCCCCATGGTGGGGTCTAGCGCTGTCCCGAGAAACCCGAGCGGAGCTTCGAAACTTTATCCTTGTACTGTTGCCCACAGAGTGCTTGCACTCACGGCCTTTTATCTCGTGTTGATGATGTGCACAAGGTTTCGGTCTTTCGCCTGGTGGCTGTCCGTGGCCGCTTTATAGTGCGCTGGAGTGCACCACGTGGCCTGCACCACACAGCTTGCACCACATGGCCTGCACCACTAGCTTGCACCACATGGCCTGTACCACGTAGCTTGCACCACACACCTTGCCCCGCGTAGGTCTTCTTGTTGTGAGAGTACAATATGATTCCCCTCCGAGGCCGGGGGATAACGGCCCCACTCCGCGTAATCTTTTTCCCAACAATCCTGTGGTGTTGGGTCCTCGTTTTGAAGAGAGACGGTCCCCGCATCCCCCCTCACCCTCTCCTGCTCCTCCTCCTCCCGCTCCTCCCTCCTCCCACCCTTGCCTCCAGCTGCCGTCCTGGCCCGAGGCCTTGGGTGCAAGTTCCAAGAACCTGCGAGCCTCTCGGATGGTGGCAAGAGGATACTACGCCCTCGTCGGGCCAGGTCAGCCCATGCGCCCGACAGGAGGACCAGAAACGACCTCGCGCCATCGTTGCCGCGTCCAGCTCAGCCAGAGGAAGCCATGAAGCATCGATTATGGTTGCCAATGTCCACGTCGAAGAGGGATATCATTGCTTACAGAGATCAGTTGAAGATCAGTCTCGATGGACTGGAGAAGCTAATCAGGAGCGCCTACCAGATAGGCCAGCGCTCAGCCCGTATCGAAGAGCTCGAGCAAGACTATTCGGTCACCCTCTACATGATCATGTACGCCAGGGACCCCAAGGCTCGTACGGAGCAGCAGAAGGCATAGGTCGACAAGATCAGGAAGCGCATGAGCGACGCCCAGAGAGCGGAGGACTAAGAGCTTGAGGACCACAAGAAGGCAGTCACCCTCACCCAGGCGCTTTTCGAAATCGTGCAGAAAACAAAAGATCTGTTATCTCACTTCGAGCGCCTCGAGGAGGAAGACGACGGAGAGGATGATGCACACATGGAAGTTGATGAGCCAGCACAAGCACAGGAGGTACCACCAGCCCCAGAGACTGCACAGACGTCAGCCAAGAAGGTGCCAGCCAGTGCGGAGCAGAATGCCACCACGGCAGCCTGCATTGCAGCCATGCAAGCGACCAACGTCGGCCCGGCAGCCCAGGTCAGCTGCCTCGCCACCCAAACGGCGACCATACAGCAGGCCCTCGCGGCGGTCATCACGAACGCCTCGCTGGCGCCGCCAGCGGGACAGGTCGCCCCACAGGCCGTGAGCCAGGCGTCTGCGCCACCGCCAGCGAGCCAAGTGGCCCACGCAGGCGCGGCGCAGACAGCCACACCGGCCACTGGAACAGTGCCATGGCCGCCACATCCTACGCTACACGGAGATGCAGCAGCAGCACCAGGAGACCAAGCTGAGGTGCCAGCAGAGGGGGCGGTGACAACGCCCAGACCAGGAAGAGCGGCATCGGCATCAGCCAATCCAGCAGACGCCAAGACCCCGAAGAAGGCCATGCTGAGGATCGCAGCGGACAAGTCCATCGGCAAGCGCATCCCAGGCAGCGTCCTCAAGGTCGCCTTTGACAAAGGCAGCGCCCGCAGGGCCGCTGCCGAGGACGTCAAGGCGGACTCCGACGAGGACGGCGTGGACGAGGGCATGGGCGACCAACCCAGCCCAAGGACGGCCCGTCAGGGCCAAGAAGATGAAATCCCACCAGCCCTCTGGGCGTCGGTGGTTTAAGGAGTTTCCTCTTCCACCCCTCCTTCTTCCCCTTCGGGGAGGGGTTTACCCCTCCCCCTACCCCCTCCCCACTGACCTGGACAGGGGGTTCCGCGGCGCGTTGGAGCGCCCAAGACGGCCTCGGCGAGGAAGCCCAAATCATTGATTTTACTATGGTTTCGGCCCCACTTTGGCCTTCTGAGGGGGGGGCTGAAATTTAGGACCCCCCCTTCTTTGATCGATTTCCTCCACGATGGCCGCTCCACGATGGCCGCAAGAGGCCCCCAGGATGCCCCAAGAGGCCGCAGGATGGCCCCAAGATGGCCCCACGAGGCCCCCCAAGAGGCCCCCAGGAGGCCCCCAAGAGACCCCCAAGCGGCCCCAAGAGACCCCCCAGAGGCACCCAAGGTGCTCCCAGAGGCCCCAAGATGGCCCCAAGAGGCCCCAAGAGGCCCCCAGGAGGCCCCAAAGAGGATTCCGAACGGCCCACAGAGGCCCCCCCGAGGCGCCCAAGACGCCGAAAAGCCCCTCAGGACGACCCTCTACTCGCCTGGGCGTCGTTTCTGGACGGGCTGGTGGGGATACGCGAAGCGTCTAGAATTTGACAAACACCGTTGCATGCTGGAGGGGAAGTACCAGACATCCCTCCAAGAATTCAGGACGACTCATGCCCTACCCCTCCATTGGAGCCGGAGCCTAATTTTCGAAGAATCGTTTCCAGCCCCATCCCCAACTTGGCGGATACCCCGGACCTGCTCCAAAACCGGTGGGAATGGGAGTTGCTAACCGATAAGGTCATGATACTGGAGAAAAACCACAATCAGGGCTATAGGGCTAGGGGGCTCTAGAGCTATAGGGCTATTGAGCTATAGGGCTATAGCGCTTATGGCTATAGGGCTATAGGGCTATAAGGCACCCCCGGGCACCCTTGGGCACGCCCGGGCACCCAGGCACCCGGGCACCCCCGGGCACCCCTCAAGCACCCGGGCCCCGGGCACCCCCAGGCACCCCTGGGCACCCGGGCGTGCAGCGAAAATCGGCGACAAACCTAACCTAACCATATGAATCCGCTAGGACCCCTACAGAGGCAAGCTCTGATTGTAGAACATACGCCAACTTTTGGCACCCAGCTACCATCGCAGGTCTTTCCAAGCTGGGCCCCGACCCAGGTATCCCACCTAAGCGTCTGGACATCTACACAGACGGCACAGCTTGGGCGTAGTACAAGAATCGGGAGGGGAAGCTATGCACTTCCGCGTGGTCCTTTGTGGTTATTGAATCTGCACTCGAGCACATGTGGTTATACGGCTACCTATACGACCACCCTTCGGGTGATAAGGAGGTTGTGGGGGGGGGGGAGATGGGGGGAACCAACATCTGACTCAATCGATCTCACTATCGATCTCACTCAACGGGACACCACGGGACACCACGGGACACTTGTCGCTCTCACTATCGATCTCACTCAACGGGACACCACGGGACACCACGGGCCACCACGGGACACCAAGGGACACCTCGGGACACCTCTCGATCTCACTATCGGTGTCACTATCGATCTCACTATCGATCTCACTCAGCGGGACACCAAAGGACACCACGGGACACCTCGGGACACCACATCGATCTCACTATCGATCTCACGATCGATCTCACTCAACGGGACACCACGGGACACCTCGGGACACCTGTCGATCTCACTATCGATCTCACTATCGATCTCACTCAACGGGACACCACGGGACACCTCGGGGCACCACATCGATCTCACGATCGATCTCACTATCGATCGCACTATCGATCTCACGATCGATCTCACTATAGATCTCACGATCGATCTCTCACTATAGATCTCACTATCGATCTCACTATCGGTCTCATTATCGATCTCACTATCGATCTCACTATCGATCTCACTGTCGATCTCACAGGACACCATGGGACAACGACGGGACACCGGCGGGACACCAGCGGGACACCAACGGGACACCGGCGGGACACCGCGCGCCACCGGTTGCCGGGCGGAGAACCTTTTGGTCTGGCCGCGGCCCAGCCACGACGGGACCGGCGGGACACCAGCGGGACACCAGCGGGACACCGGCGGGACACCGCGCGCCACCGGTTGCCAGGCGGAGAACCTTTTGGTCCAGCCGCGGCCCAGCCACAGGAGAATTTCCTCTCCCCCGCCCACGCAGCTTCGCCTCGCCCGCACGCGCGGCACGAACACGAAACCGAAATCGATTTCCCGGTAAGGGGATTCTCCGTTCCACTTCGATCTCACCCCCCAACCTCCGACTCAGGGGGTACCCTTGAATCAACACAAACACTGTGCGCTAAATCGTTACACAGCAACAACAAAAAATGAAGCAACTATATGGGCAATAACTTGGCTTATCAACACAGCAAGCGAGTTCCAACACCTTTCGTTGGTATGGATACATACTGACAACATGCAAGTCGTGCGTAGTGCCTCCCTGAGAGCTCTCAAAGGTCCCCTCAAAGGCCCACAATGGACCCTGGACAACCTGGTGCAAATACTACACCACATGTATGCCATCTTCTATTGGGAACATATCCCGGGACATTCCGACCATGCATGGAACGAAATGGCAGATACCACAGCACGACTTGCAGCCATGTACTTTCTCTCGCACCTGCCAGTGCCAACATGGCGAGCGGAGCTCGACCTACCATGGCATCAGCAGGCACTGAGGTGGATGTGGCTGGACTTCTTGGCCGTGGAGCGGCGCGCTCAGTTTCCGCCAGCCTCAGGCACGCCGCTCCGACCACCGCTTAGCGCCAAGATCAGCTTGCAGGATGGTCTGCCTCAGCGTATCACGTATCAATGCGAGACAGTTGACAAATGCCCCAAGTTCTGGGTTGCCACGGCCAACGTACTTA